CCCCCATTTCCCCTCTCCCCTAGAAATCTGCTGCCCCCAGCGCAGGGCCCTTGGCTCACGAGCGAGGAGGGGCGAGATGGCTCCACCGCCGAGGGAGGTGGGCTGTGCGGCTCCTTCGCTGAAATAGCTTCCCCTCGCCGGCGCCGTCAATAAGCTAATCCTCACTTGCAGCGCCGGCACACCGGTTCTAGTCCCGGTCGGGGCGCGGATTCTGTCCCGGTTGCCCCTCCTTCCAGGCCAGCTCTCTGCTATGACCAGGGAAGTGCAGTGGAGGATGGCCCAGGTGCTTTGGGCCCTGCACCCCATGAGGAGACCAGGAAAAAGCACCTGGATCCCTGGCTCCTGCCATTGGATTCAGCGCGGTGCGCCGGCTGCAGCGGCGGCCATTGGAGAGGTGAACCAACGGCAAAGGAAGACCTTTCTCTCTCTGTCTCTCTCTCTCACTGTCCACTCTGCCTGTCAAAAAAAAAAAAAAAAAGAAATAGCTTCCCCAGGACCTCGGTGTCTATGGGGGCTGCTCTGGCCCTCCTCCCTGAGACCCCACCCCAGCACTTGGACTCCTGCTTGGCTGGCCCCTGGATAACTCCCGCCCTGCTGTCTCCTTGGAGAAGGAAGAGGAGGGGCCCTGCCCGCTCTGCCCGCCTTGGCCCAGGACCCCCTGTGTCCCTCCTCTGAATTGATCTGGTTTGTTTAAGCCTGTGTTTGGCATCTCTGCCGCCTGTCTCCCGCCTCCAGGACAAAGGATGCTGGCAGGAGCGCCTGCTCTCTTCCGTGTTCCCAAACCAGAGCTTCGGGGCCCTGGCACCTGAAATGTCTGCTTCCTGAGTGAAAGGGGCGGCGCCTAGACAGCCGGTAGCCACCAGAGAGAACAAGCAGGCCACGTGGTCCCGGGGTCTGCCGGTGCTGGCCAGGCTTGTCTCAAGCACCCCAACCACGGCTCCTGCCTCCTGCTCCAGGCCTCCGTCTCCCTGAGTGGCGGGACTGGGGCCAGTGCAGGCTTTGGACTGGGTCCCATCTCAGCCTCGCAGCTTCTGTCTCTGCTTCTTCCGGGCTGAGTGGCCTTGGGCGTGTTGCCCTGTCTCTCTGGTTCTCAGTTGCTGGAGCTAGGAATGGGGATAAGAAAGGCACAGGTAAAGTCTGGGGGAAAGCGGAGCGAATGCCATCTCGCTGCTGTCCAGCAGTTGCCCGTTATCTGAGCCCTCCTGCAGCAGCCCCGCCAGGGTGTCGGGGAGGAACCCACGGCTGCCTTGCTGTGCCCTCTTTGGACATGGGAGCTGCATGTGCACCGCACACGGTGCCACATCCCTTCTGTGGAGCCAGGCCCGCCCTGGCAGCTCTAACAGCTCAGCAGCAGCCCCTCTGCCATCTCTCTTGCTCTCGGGGTCCCCGCTGCCCCCTAGCTCACCAGGTGCCCTGCCTTCCCATGCTGCCATCATCAATAAGAAGATACCGGCTGGTAGGTGCATTCACACACTGCAAACAGAGCAGTAGTCCCCTGTCCCACCTCGGTCGCTGGGGCTGGTGAGGCCTTGGGCCGCAGGTTGGGAGGCATCTGCCTCCTGCCCCCACTCCGGTGCATGCCTGGAAGGTGCAGCCTCTGCTTCCCTTTCCCACGTCTGGGGAGAGGTGCGTCTCTCCCCTGCCCTGGGCCCTTCCTGTGAGAGCCAGCCCCACCTCAGCCAAGGTCCTGGCTCCAGACCTTTCCCACCAAGGAGAAAATAGCAAGAAAAACAGATGGGAGCTGATACCGTGCACTGCAGGGTCTGCTGGGACCAGGTTCTGGAGGAGCCCCAGGAAAGCTTTAACCCCAGGGCTCCAGGCAGTCAGGAAGGGTGAGGGGAGGGTGGGAGGAGGAGGCCCCTCCCCAGCCCAAAGCTGCCTCCTTCCCCCACCCAAGACCCCGTCGGTGTCTCCCTCCCCATCCTCCATAGGCCATGGGGACCCAGATGCAGGTCCTTGGCTGGGCGACAGCTCCTGGGGGCTCCTGGCCCACCCCTGGGTCGGGCCAGTGCCCTCCTTGGACGGCACCCAGACAGGGCCACGGTAAAGCTCCCAGGCAAGGGCTCTTCCACACCTGAGGCCTCACAGTTGCCCTGGGGCCCTGCAGCAGGCCGCAGGGCTGCTCCCGGGGTCCCAGCCCCTGGGGAGTGGCTCCCTGGTGCGGCACAGCTGGGTACGGCCACCTGAGACCACACCCAGCAAGGGCTGTGTCCGTGGCAAATGTGATGCCAAGGAGACAAGTGATGGGCCGTGGGGAGGACAGGATGCCTGCCCCCCCCCCTTCCTCCTGCTGGAACCCTGCTGGCCGCAGGAAGCTGGAGCTGGGACCTGGCCCCACCCTCCACCTGTTGCTGGTGAGGACGCACCGTTCTCTGGTCCCTCCCCATAGATTCATACCCAGAGTTTGCCTCCTTCTTCCTCTTCTAGATTTATTTTATTTATTGGAAAGGCAGAGTGATAGAGAAAGAGACTGAGAGACAGAAAGAAAAAGTCATCTTCCACCCTCTGGTTCACACCCCCAAGTGGCCACCACAGATGGGGCTGGGCCAGGCCGAATCCAGGAGCCTGGAGCTCCATCCGGGTGTCCCACGTGAATGGCAGGGCACAAGGACTTGGGCCATCATCCGTTGCCTCCCAAGATGCCTTAGCAGGAAGCTGGGTCAGAAGTGGAGCAGCCGGTACTGGAACTGGGGCTCCAGTGCGGTGTGCTGGCATCACAGCCTGCCCCACCACAACGCTAGCCCTTTCTCTTTCATTGTGCTTATTTATTGCCATCTACTTCAGCTGGGTCAGAAACCGGGGAGCCTGGACTCGGGCTGGCGCTCTGACAGGGACGCGGGCATTGCGCCTGTTGTGCCACAGCGCCCCCTGCCTGCCCAGAGCTTCCTTGGTAGTGTCTGGGAGGACCTGATGGTATCTAGGAGTGAGAGCCTCGGACCCGTCCTGAGCAAAGCCAGAGGGGAGCCTCTGGGCTGTGTTTGCCGAGCATCCGGAGACCCTGGACTTCTCCCAGGAGCAAGTGCATTTAGGGGCGTGGAGGGGTCAGGGCTGGGCAGAGCAGCACCAGCGGGGAGCCCCCGGAGCAGCTGCACCTGCAATGTTCCGTGGGGTCCTCAGCCTGGGCAGCAGGTCTCGTCTTCCAGAGGGGGCACTGAGCTGGGGGGGGCCTTGTGCTTTGCCATGGGGGGCATGGATTTGGCTGCTCTGCCGAGGATGGGAAAGGGGTGGAATCGGCTTCCACTGCAGCTCGCGTCTAAGAAACACGCGTGAGGCACGAGGGAACAGGTCAGCTCCTGAGGTCGGGGGCCTGGGGGTGCAAGGGTGCCACCATGGCCCAGTAGGGAGGGGGCAGTGCTCTGAAGGGTCTCCGAGTCCCCTGGAATGATAAGGAGAGGGGGAGCGGGGTCCTGGATGTCCCTGCTGGCACTCCTCTTTCTATGGGGGGGCGAGGGGGCGCCTGTCTTCTCCCGCCCTCCAGATTATCCCCCTGCACTGTTGGCCAGGGCATGAGGGGCCTGCAGCAGACGGTCAGGCATTCTGGCATCCAGCCCCCGGGGGGCTCAGGAGCTGTTTGCCTGGCAGGAGGGCGCTCGTCCATCTCTGGAGGCTGCCCTGGAAAATAACAACTGGGCACGCTCAGCGGCTCCTGTGTGGGGCTGGGCAGCCCCAGCCCTTGGCACCCGCTCCAAGGGCAGCGTGCGGGCCGGGTTGGTATAAAGGGAAGCAGGGAGCCCCTGAGCCTGTAAAACCCGTCTCCCTCATGAGGAGGAGGGCCCCTGCCGCACCCCCACCCCTGCCTGATAGGAGGCGGCTTGGACGGCCCCTCCCTTCACAAATTCTTTATCTCCCTGGAAGGACACATTAGGGCCTGCAGTTGTCTGTTCAAGCCCTGACTTTTGTGTTGTCTGCCTCTCTCCCCGGGAGCTCTGGGGAGGCAGAGAACCATGGAGCCCCTGAGAGATGCTTGCTGAGCCGGTACGTGACAGCATGGAAGTTTCTAGCACACGGTAGAGGCTCAGCGAACATCTTTCTCTCCTGAGATCATTCCCAGTCAGTCCAGGGTGCAGGGCTGGTTCTTCTTCTTTTAAAGATTTATTTTATTTGTTTGAGAGGCAGAGTGGCAGAGAGACACGGAGAGAGGAAAAAGTCTTTCCACCCGCTGGTTTACTCACCCAATGGCCACAACAGACCGAAGCCTGGAGCCTGGAGCTGCATCCAGGTCTCCCACGTGGGTGCAGGGACTCGAGCACTCGGGCCATCCTCCGCTGCTTTCCCAGGGGCATTAGCAGGGAGCTGGGCCGGGGGTGGAGCAGCCGGGACTCACACTGGTGCTCATACGAGCCATCGGCTGCAAGCAGTGCCTTGGCCCACTGCTCCACAGCAAGGACCCTACCAAGAGCAGGGGTCTCCACACCAACCTTTTTGGGGAATGGGAGTAAAGACAGAGGTGGAGACGGGGCGGTGGCATGGGCAGGGGTGGACGGGGCAGAGTCAACAGAAGGGGGTGCAGGAGGTTTTGCTTAGGACGCTGGTGTCAGCCGGCCCAGCGGAGGGGTGGTTTGCCGATCGCCTGGCCACGTGGGGCAGTGTCGGGGTGTTAGGAAGCACTTCTGTGGGCCCTGGGCTCGTCATGGGTCTCTGTGAGGCCTCGGTTTCCTCAGCTGTCAAATGGGCAGTCTTCACACTGCCAGAGATTTCAGAAGCCACCGGGGACGTGACAAAGCTGCGACGAGATGGCGGGGCGGGGCGAGGGGAGTGCCCAGCACCCGTGAACAATTTTCACTCGTGTCTTTTCCTTAAAACTCCTGATTAGCCTTGGCTATTTTCAGCCATGATTTTTATCACGGATCGGGGTCCCTCTCTGTGCAGGAGAAGGGAGCCGGTGCACTGTCCTGGATCCTGGTGGACGCGTGCACCCCCCACCTCCACCCTGCCCGCTCACCGGGGCCCAGGAGGCTCTCCGGAGAGCTGCAGCCCCTCACTCTGCCCCTCGCCCGCAGGTACAAGGCAGTGGTGACGCCGCGCAGGGCGGCGGTAGCCATCGCCGGCTGCTGGATCCTCTCGCTCGTGGTGGGCCTGACGCCCATGTTCGGCTGGAACAACCTGCGGGAGGTGCAGCGGGCCTGGGCGGCCAACGGCAGCGTCGGGGAGCCGGTGATCAAGTGCGAGTTCGAGAAGGTCATCAGCATGGAGTACATGGTGTACTTCAACTTCTTCGTGTGGGTGCTGCCCCCGCTACTGCTCATGGTCCTCATCTACCTGGAGGTCTTCTACCTGATCCGCCGGCAGCTCAGCAAGAAGGCGTCGGCCTCCTCCGGAGACCCGCACAAGTACTACGGCAAGGAGCTGAAGATCGCCAAGTCGCTGGCCCTCATCCTCTTCCTATTCGCCCTCAGCTGGCTGCCTCTGCACATCCTGAACTGTGTCACCCTCTTCTGCCCATCCTGCCAGAAGCCCAGCATCCTCGTCTACACCGCCATCTTCCTCACGCACGGCAACTCGGCCATGAACCCCATCGTCTACGCCTTCCGCATCCACAAGTTCCGGGTCACCTTCCTCAAGATCTGGAACGACCACTTCCGCTGCCGGCCCGCACCCGCCGGCGACGGCGACGAGGACCTCCCGGAAGAGAAGCCCAACGACTAGGCGCTGCCCTCTGCTCTTCCAGCCCAGCCGGTCCTCCCCTCCCCTCCGCCCCAAGGGGCCCCTTCCCAAAGGAGTGCACCCCTGCACCCCGGGGCTCGGAGTGGGGAGGGAATCCGCGCCCCAGGGCGCGAGGAGCGTCTTGAGCCCACCCACCTGCCTGACCGTCCCAGGAGTGAGCAGGGCCCCCGTTCAAGGGCTGGGTGGGCCCCGGGGAGGCTGGGCGTGCAGAGGGGCCGTGTGGGCGGATGAGGCTGCCTGGACTTCTGCGCCAGGCAGGGGTCTGCTTGTTGGGGTGCTGGTGATGCAGAAGACAGGATGCTCTCCGGGAGGGAGGGGAGCAGCACGTGGGGAGGGGGTGTCTTGGCCTTGCTTTCTCTGCGCAGCAGAAGGGGCTCAGAAGCAGCTAAGGGACAGGACTCAAGGAGCCTCCATCCCCACCTCCAAGGACTCTGCCCAGGGCCGTGCCAGGTGCCAGGCGGCCGGCTCAGGATCGCACTTTGGAGAGGCAGAAAGAGTGGGTCCAAAAATCATTTCTGACCTGGGCTTTTATTCTGCACCAGCCCTTGGACTGTGGGCAGGGGTGGAGTGGTGGGTGCTGGCCTCACACAGCCACCAGGCGGCAGCACTGAGCCCTCCTTGCCCTGCACCTCGCTGGGCGGCGCCTGGCTGTGCCAGCCGGATGGCACCGTGTATACTGCCCAATGGAGGGGGAACCCCAACCATGCCAACATGCTGCCTGCCAGCCCCCCCCAGGAAGACGAAGAGGGGAAGGGTCCCTGCAGGCTTGGTCGGTGCTCACCGGGGCACCTGCGGGGTGGGAAGTGGCGGGCAAGGACTGGCCGGAGACCGCTCTCGAGGAAGGTCCACTGGCCCTTAGATGCCCAAAGCTCAGGCTGGGGCTTTGGGACGCTCTTGACAGATGGACTCCAGGCATTTAGGGATCTGGGAAAGGCCTGGCCTGCAGCCTCTGTGCACAGGGCCTGCTGGAAGGGGTTCTAGACCCTTCTGTTGGAGGCGGGTGTGAGGCCATGAGGCTAATAAAAGACCGGACCCTGGCGGAGATCATGTGCTGTCAGGGGCGTGGGGGCGGCGGGGCGGCCTCTGGGAGAAGCAGTAGTGGGGAGGGGATGCGGAGGCTGTGGGAGCCGAGGTTCCCTCCAGGGTGTGTCTGTTGCCATGGTTACGCATCCAGGTGGCAAAGCCCGAATCAGACGGCAAGAGCCTGAACATGCACGTGTCGGGAAAGTCCCCGTGACATCCAGAGCCCCCTCCCACGGCCCCCTCCTCATGGGGACATTCGATGGCGCCCGGGCGACCCCGTCTTTCACGCTCAGAGAGGCCCCTCCTGCTACACCACAACGCCTTTATTTGAGGGCTTCTTGCCCAGCACACAACGCTGCAGCCCTCTCCAACCCCCACACCCTCTGGGTCCCATGCACCCTGGAAGCCTGGGACGCCAGCCTTGGCGGGGAGGGGCCAGCGGCAGCGGCAAGGACGGTCCCACGAGCCGGGGCTGTGGACTAGGGTGCCTTGGGCCTCTGTGGAGTCAGATCCCGGGCCTGGGCTGTGGGGTCGGATCCTAAAGGCTGTGGCACCTGCTTGGAGAAGGTGCTCGGTGAGCCTGGTGCGGGCAGAGCTCGGCGCTACTGCCAGAGGTGCCGGTGGGGGGCAGCAGGGGCGGCACTGTCTTCCCTCCCCAGACCTCCCTCCCCAGCCTGCCCCCGCAGTTCTAGATGCTTCCCGATCCAGAGCTGCAGAACCAAGCCTGGGAGGGGAGGCAGGGCAGGGGCTCCAGGTCCCCACTGCTCTGTGAGGAATCCCCTTGCTTAAAGTCACTCGGAGCCGGGCGTGACCAGCATTGCCCGGCCCTTCGGTGTCACGCGTGTTTCTGCACATGTGTGCTAGCTGCCTGTGCCTGCACGTGTGTTCCCCTCCCTGGCCCAGCCGCTCACCTGCCTCCTCCTCCCGTAGCTGCTCAGTGTGTGGCCGAGGCTGGAAGAGAACCTGCAGGTTAGAGCCTGGGGGAGGACGGGGTGGAGGGGAACCGGAGGGGCTCCAGGTTACACGCCCTCTCCACGCCCCCACCCCACCTCGCACTGGGAAAGGCGCTCAGACAGCCCCGCCTGGGACTCCCCTTCTCTGCTGCCTGGGTTCGCAGCTCCCAGCAGGTGGCTCCTCTCATTCTTGCACCCTCCTCAGACCCTCACCTTTGATCTCCAGCCGGCACTCCACGGAGGCCTCCCCCAGCGCATTGACAGCCTTGCAGGTGTAGACGCCTGAGTCAAAGGGGCTGGGCTTGCGGATCTCCAGGGTGCAGACCCCCTGGTCAGAGACGGCCCGGTACTTGGGGTCACCCTGGATGTTCATCTTGTTCTTCATCCAGATGATCTTGGGCTGGGAGACAGGGTCAGGGCAGAGCTGGGAAGGCTGTGGCTGGGACGGGGCCATCCTCGGGGTTGGGTGGAGAGGCCTGGGGGATCCCGCCCCCGCAGCCCGCCGGCCCCTCACCTTGGGCGATGCCCGGACACTGCAGAACAGCTGGGTGCTGTAGCCAGGTGTGGAGGTGCGGTCAGCCAGGGGCTGTGTGAACGAGGGAGCTTCTGAGAAGTCTCGCTCCACGAATCCTTTGGGTTTGGCCACGATAGCTGGGATAGGGGAGAAAATGGGGCAGAGAGGGTCCGGGGGCACATTAGGATCGGCCTCATTCTCATCGTTGTGCAGCAAGGCGTGGCTGAAAGATGGAATCCAGAGAGAGGGGAACGCCTCCCAGCGGCGGAGGACAGAGAGGAGAGGGCGGGCCAGAGGCGGGCTGACCTGGCGGGAGGTGGACTCAGAATCCAGGACACCACATTTTGTGTCTGTCTGTCCCTGGGGAGCTGAGTGGCTTTCCTTTCTTAAACAAGAACTTCTTCCGAGTTCTATGCAGCCCAGGCTGATATTAAAAAGGGTGCATCTGCTGGAGCCCACGCAGCCATGGGCGAGGGAGGCATTGGAGCACGCAGGGCCACAGGGAGAAAGGCCTGGGACTTGACGCTCGGTGCCTGCTGCACACAGCCAAAGAGCACAGCAAATGCCGGAGGCTCTCTGCCCACAGGCACGTGGCCCTGCCACCAAGGTCCCCTGGGACCCAGTGACTGTGGTATTGGCAGAATAAGTGCACGGCCTCCTGCTCATTTGCATGGGTCTGCTGTGATGCATTTGTTAAAATCCGTCCGCTGCATCCATTACTTTCACGCCACGGCAGTGTGTGCGCATGCGTGCATGTGTGCCTCTGTGTGTGCGTGAGGGTGTGGGGGTGTGTGTGCGCACACACGTGTGTCAGCACCAGGGAAGGGGAGGGCAGCAAAAGTCCCAGGGAGCAGGCACCCAGGAGAAGGCAGAGAGACTGGAGACCCCCCGGAGGCCAGCTGCACCCACCTGCCTTCTGGATGTGGGCAAGCTCCTTGGTGACCGCGGCCGAGTCGCTGAGCCCACACAGGTTTTCAGAGAAGACCCGGAAGGAGTAGGAGTTACCGATGATGAGGTCGGAGACGGTGCAGGTGGTAGGGTGGTAGCGCTCCAGCACCGTGAACCATTGCTGCGGGGGGCGGACTGGCCGGTCACCCTCACCCCCTCCCCCGTCCTCGCCCTCCCAGCTGACGCCCCAACCTGGGGAGACTGAAGCAGCCGATTTAGACCTGGGGGACCTTGAGTTGGGACAGGAGGCCCCTGGGGGACCTCTCTGGGGTCCTCGGAGAATTCTCAGCCTTGTTACTCAAAGTGCGGCCGGATGCACAATCTGAGCGTCCCCTGGGGACTTCTAGCAGGGCGGGGTCTCAGCCCCACCCAGACCGCCCCTGAGCAAAGCTCCCAAGTGAGTTCTCCACACAGGAAGTCTGCAGGACTGCGGCTGCCAAGCTTGGGCAGAAGGGAAAGTGGAGCCGAGAGGACGAGTCCTGCCCAGGGCCCCCCTCCACCCTCCTGGAGTCCGGGTGGTGGTCCTTAGCTGACTCAGCGGGGGGGCCTTCCGCTCCCTCTCCGGACCCCACCTCACCCCTGCAGCCTCACCCCTGTCTTTTTGTCCGCCTTCTGCACCGTGTAGCCCAGGAGCTCCGTGTTGCCTGTGTCCTGGGGCGGGGTCCACTCGAGGGCAGCGTTGCAGCCCCAGACATCCAACAGCTTGATGCTGATGGGCGGCCCAGGCTTCTCTGCAGGACCAGAGGGCAACCGTGAGCACAGCAGGGCTGCACCTGCCGCCAAGTCCCCACACCCTGGATTTGGCTCCTGCCACACTCCCTTAGCCGTGCTCTCCCAGCCATCAGCCCCGTCAGGGGGAGGATCAGGGAGCTCTGGTCCCCGTGAGGCAGCCTTGTCTCCCTGGCCCCGTACCGATCACCAGGATGTCGATGGCTGCCTTGGCCTCCAAGCCTTCCAGCCGCACGGTGAGCTCGTAGCGACCGGAGTCAGAGCGCTGGGCCGAGCGGATGAAGAGGATGGAGTCCTGGTCCCCACTGCGCACATTCATGCGTTTGGTGTCCAGGGCCTGGCCGTTGTGTGTCCACGAGGCCTGGGGCTTGGGCTTCCCCTGACAGGAAGGAGCCCTCAGGGTGAGCGCGGGCAGGGGCAGCGGCCCACACCCACCCCGTGCCCGGGAGCCCCACTGGTCTCAGCCTCAGGAGCTGTCCTCAGCCAGGTCCCCTGGGGGCTGCCTGCCTGTCCTGGGGCTGTGCACAGTGGAGAGTGGAGGAGGCCATCCTGGCGGGGCCCAGCTAGACTCCCAGGGGACTCCGGACATTTCCCAGGCTCCAGGCACCCACCTGGAAGGGGATCTGCAGGTTGATGGCCTCTCCCACATGGCGGAGGTAGGTCTGACGGAGGTGGCGGGGGACGCGGATCTTGGGGGCCTCTGCCTCGGAGCAAAGAGTCTAGGCTTAGCACAGCAGTAGGACAGCTGGTGAGGGCAGAGGCCTGCAGGAGGGCTCCTGGGTGTGTCCCAGCTGCCTCCTCTCACCCCCCCCCAACCTGATCTAGGGGCCCAAATCCCAGTGAGGTCTTCTGGGAGCTGAGAGCCGGCTGCTGGCCGGGCAGGGCAGGGCTGCCGTGGTGTGAACTGGTAGGCATCCCGGGCACTCCCGCGGCGCCTTGACCCTGCCAGGCTGGGATTTGCCACACAGCCCAGGCATTCCCCAACTCCGGACGGTCCTGGCGGCCTCTCGGTCTCCCCCTGGTGGGGAGCAGGTGCTGCACCTGTTGTACTGCACTCCTGGGCTAGGCGACTGAGCCTCCTGCCTGCGAAGCCAGCACCCAGCACCCAGCACCTGGCACAGCCCAGGACTTTCCAAGCAGCCCCGGGAACCCCGTTTGCCTATTCCTCTGTCTCCAGGCCCTATTGGAAGGATTCAGATGCTTCCCTGATGCACCCCTCCCACAACCTTTCCATCTCGCAGCTGGCAGGTCCTTCCTGGACTGTTCCAGCCCCCTGCCTTGGTAGGGAGTCACCTTACACCCACCTAACCAGGGGCACCCACTGCAGCCACCAGGCAATGCCAGGGAAGCTGTCGAAGCCACTGCCCCTCCCCCTGGCTGGGTGCTGGGGCCAGGGCTGGGGCTCCTCAGGGGCAAACAGGTGGCCACAGTTGGCTGGTGGCACGCAGGGTGCGGAGGAGACAGTGAGAAGGGACAGTGTGTCTCCGAGGATTAGCTGAGCGGGCACTGGGCTCGGGAGCATCAGGCTTGGAACGCTCCTGGGGCAGCTGCAGGGGGTCAGGAATGCTTGGCAGCCCCAGGTGGCCGGGAGGGACAGCTGGGCAGGGAGGGTCCTGGATGGGGCCCCACCCTGTCCTGCCCACAAG